CCTTTCCTCATAGGGAAAGTGTTCCAACCCTTTTATCATTCGAGTTGCCCTTTTCTGCACTTTTCCCAATGTTATAATTTCCTTTTTAAAGGTGTGGTGACCAGAACTGCACACAGTATTCCAAATGAGGTCTCACCGTTGATTTATATAGCGGCATTATGATATTGGCTGATATTTTTTCAATACAAGCATGGAAGGCTTCAAAAGGGAATTAGATAAGCATATGGAGCAGAGGTCCATCCGTGGATATTAGCCACAAGGTATAGATAGGGGCTCTGGGGCAAGTGATGCTCTGTCATCTTGGTGCTTGGGGGGGGGGGTCAACAGTGGGATGGCTTCTAATGTCCTGGCCCCACTGCTGGACCTCCTGAGGGCACCTGGTATTTCTGGCCACTGTGTTGTACAGAGTGTTGGACTGGATGGGCCTTTGGCCTGATCCAACATTGGCGTCTCTTATGTTCTTACCCTTCCTAATAACCCCCAGCATAGCATTGGCCTTCTTTATTGCAGTCACACACTGTCTCGACATTTTTAGTGAGTTATCTACTACAACTCCAAGATCTCTCTCTTGATCAGTCTCTGCCAGTTCAGACCCCATCAAAGTGTATTTATATTTAGGATTTTTGGCTCCAATGTGCATCACCTTGCACTTGGCCACATTGAACCCCATTTGCCATGTTGACACCCACTCGCCCATCCTTGACAGATCCCTTTGGAGTGCCTCACAATCCTCACTGGTTTTCACCATCCTGAACAACTTTGTATCATCCGCAAATTTAGCCACTTCACTGCTTACTCTCATCTCCAAATCATTAATGAACAAGTTAAAAAGCAGTGGACCAAGTACTGATCCTTGTGGTACCTCACTGCTTACCCCCCTCCACTGAGAGAACTGCCCATTTCTACTCACTATTAGAGGACCTGTCCTTTTACCCCATGGCTATTGAGCTTCCTTAGGAGCCTTTGATGAGGACCTTTTATCAGAAGGGTTGTGGAAGTCAAGGTAAAGAACATCTGTTGGGTCCCCCTTGTCCAGGTGTTTGTTCACCTCATGCCAGTTGTGAAAGGAGAGGTTTTGGGAACCAATTCCCACCTTGGCCCTGCGGTCCTTCCAGGATACGGATATGCTGGTGCCGCTTTTAAACTGGCTCCCCAGGCCCTTCTGGCTCCTGCAGACCTCTCCGGGCAGCGGCCTGATTTGTTGTTGTTGCAGCAGCCGGAATGCCCTGGTGCTCAGCACTGGAAGTACCAGCGCCTGGTACCTTGTATACTGACGTGGTGGTGGTGGTGGCCCAAGCCAGCCAAGCTGGAAGGAGCAGGGGTGGTGGTGGTGGTGGTGGGCCAGGCCTTCCTTCCTCGCGGTTTGAGAGCCAGGCAGAATGAAGGCCCAGCTGGGGTGTGTGTTGGGGGGCAGAGAGGAGCGCGCGTGTCCACTGTGGGAAGGGTGCAACGCAACGCGGCGGCTTTCCGCTGACAGTCGAGGAGAGCGCGGACAGCCGTGGCAGCAGGGGCGGTGAGAGCAGCTATGGGGCGAGGGGTCTCTCTCTGCCTGCTCCTGGGGGG